AAAAATAAAAAAATGTCGCTCACCAACAACCTGGTCCAAGAACTTTCAACAATTCTTATCGCGGCAGCTCTCGTCCTTACTATCCAAGTAACAACGGTAACAGAGGAAGATATGGGACAAACTACCGACAAAATTCTTCAAGCAACCGAAATTGGCGCCCACAGAGTAACTATCGCAGAAATGACGCTCCTCGGGGAAGACAAAATCAACCAAACGGCTACCGAGGCGCTCGAATCAATTCAATCTCTCCATGGCTCTTCTCAACAATCTGCTTTACAATCGTCGCCCTCTTCACCCTGCCACAATCATCTGCAGAATTTTATGATTGTTCTCCCAAAGGTGGAATACTCATAGCTCCGCCTGAACCGGAACTTTGTCAAACCAACACGGAGTATTTTAGCCACGTCAAAGCTGAGCTGTTCACCCAGAATTTTACGCATCACGAGATAGAAGCGTATCGCTGCACTATTGAAATCTACAAAAGATGCACAAGTTCTCGAATCTGGTTTCCAGACTACAACCAAACGCTCAAAACGATAACTCCAATGAGCCGCGAGCAGTGCGAAGAAGCGATTAAAGAGAGAAGCCTCGAGGGCAAGCCTTTTCTGAAGAAAGGACTTGATCTCTGGTCCATCGAACCAAGGGACTCGGACTATCCCACCAGGACTTTTTGGAGTGAGTCGTGTTCAGAAAGCAAAAGATATGTACTCGCGAAAGGGACTGCAACCTCTTTGAAAAAAGGAGAGGTAATTTCGAATCTTTTGATAAACACAAATGGCTGTAAGATCACACAAGGTTTTTGCGAAAACGAAGCCGCGATTATTCTCTGGCAAGCTCCATCAAAATGGGAACAAAACCATTGCTCTTTTATGAGACTCGGAACCTTGGAAGCAACGATAAGCTCCAATCGGATACTTTTGGAAACTATTCAAACTGCTTTCTTAGTGGAACAAAAAGAAGCAGAGGAAGCGATTCAACTTTGTTTCGGAAAGAAGAGAATCATGATAACCACAACTGGAACTATTATCCACTTTCCTGATTTTCCCAAAGCCAGGACTTTAGATGAAATAATTCATCAGCGAACAAAACGCAACGCCAAAGGCAGAACGGTAGTCATTGAGACTGATAACAAACCCTTAGTTGAACTAACAGTCATCCATAACAAACATCGCATCGCTTCTCGACTTTTAGCAGCACTCAGCAATGAAAAAAGAGGCCGCCCAGACTTCGAATCGCGAATCCAGGATTTTGCAATGAATGCAGTTACTGACCTAGTCAACTTCTGGAATATCAAATGGTCGGATGTTGAGAGCCGAATCCAAAAACATCAATACATCGACACAGGTCTTCCAATCCTGCACGCCATAGCCATAAAAGAATTCGAACTTGCCACGTTAGATCGAATCTACAAGCTGAAAGACAGTGAAATGATAAATTTAATCCGAAAAGATCCTCCTTACAGCAAAGGTCAAGAACTTCCCCTTGAGCGCCAGCAACTGATCCGACTGGCTTACGAAAAAGCTGTAGGAGAAAACAACACGAACATCGAACTTCTTTTCAAAACGGAGTTCAGGATTCCACTGATTCCCTACATGACACCGGAAGCTCGAAGAGAGCATGCTCTTCAATGCAGAAACTTTTTTACAAAGTTTCAAAAATCGAGCAAAATCAGCAGAATCTCTCTTAACCCTACTACGACGTCAGTTCTACCAAGTCTCAAGATGCCGACTGCGACACCACAAGACGTCGATACAAAAAAAGACCGCGGACCAAGGAACATCTCGATTAGCAAAGAAAAACAAATCACACCTTTACCGCCAGTCTCAGGTTCAACTTCTGACATCGAATTCCTGAAATCTACTTACGACTTCGAAGAGAACATCAGAAGAAACCTTACGCAGTCAGGGATAAATTCAAAGCTACAATATACAGCTGAAAAACTAGAAGACGGAATTAAATCCAACTTCGACAAGCTTTATCACTCCCTCTGCGAAGCAAACAACCGTCAACTCCAAATTTGGACGGCTGTTCTGCAAATCGATCCAACTATTGGTATGAGAAGCTTATTAGGTCGACAAGATATTTCGGCCAGAGTCGCTGGAAATGGAATATATTCGGTTAATCAGTGCCGGAAAATCCGTCATAAGAAGATTTACTATGATAGAAAAGTCAACGGAACTTGTTTCACAACAACGCCAATAACAACAGAAGATGACGAGATTCTTTTCATAGTCCCAGGAACTCAGGAAATCGCTCACCATGCTGTCACGATTCCTTGTGGTTCCGTAACTCCAGAAATATGGAAAAACAATGAGACTTTCTGGACGACAACCGGCCAGGCAAACTTCACGAATTTGCCACACCTTCCAAGCGGAGGCCCTGCTTCACTTCCAAAGCTTCATTTCTACGCACCGGATGTATACGAAAGCGCCAAAAGTTCTAGCTTTCCTCTCCTGATGGCTATTTCTTTTGGGAAAAATTTAGCTTTCATTCAACAAAAACAAAGTAGAATGATAAATGTCCTACATGGAACGGGCCTTCTGAGTACAGAAACCCTGCGAGACCTAGCAGCAGCCGGAGGCTACGTGGTCGACAAAACAACTGGAACAATCGGCGACGTTTTAGAAGACGTGAAAAATTGGTATCTAATGTATCTACTCTGGTTTGGCCTACCAGTCTTCTTCCTTCTCTCAATAGGTGCCTTCGGGTACTTAATCATCAAGTTCTGGTGCACAAGCAAACTGCTGTCAATAAACAACGTCTCACAAAAACTTGAAATGACAGCACCACCGGAAGCTGAAGCTTCCGAGGAATTCGAAGAAGACGACCGAACCGAAGAAGTGGAACGGAAAAAATATATCGCGAGGCAAAGAAGACTTTTACCGCCTCTTCTCACATACATTCCAATAATAATACCAATCATTTCCACCGCAGCAACTCTCGAGATCAACTCAGTCGGAGATTTCACTACCTTACCTTATCTCACTATCACGTTAAACTCAAGAGGTTCGGTAGCGCTATGGGACACAGGAGCTTCCGTTTCGTACATTCCAAAATCAACGCTTCAGTACACAAACACAAGAATGAATCGAGCCTGTCTTCGCCCAGCACAGACAGCAAATGGATCTACCTTCCAATTCCTTGGAAGCGTTCTACTATCTGTCTCAATCGGAGGTCATGAAATCAAGCACAAATTCCTCGTCTCTCGAGACGAAGACTGCCCTGCCCCCGCCCTGATCGGCTACGACTTCATTGCGGCTCTAGATGAAAGAAATATCTCTACTTCTCTTCACCCAAAAGAAGGAACTCTTGAAATAGGGTCAACTAAAGTAAAGCTACTGAAAAAAGGAGAAGAAGCTTTTGTAAAAGCGAATAAGAAGATCAACGTTCTCGGAGCGGAAACAAAAACAATCCCTCCATTTGCAACAAAAACTCTGAATCTGAAACTTGTCGACGACAACCAAATTCATTTTGTCCTGCTGAAACCAACTCCAGGAAGTGCACTAACCTTCCTTGAAACTCTTGTTAGACCCGGCTTAACATCGATCCAAGCCACGAACAGGACAAACAAGCCCCTGAAAATTCAAAAAGGCATGTTCTTAGGAAAAGCTGACGCCATCAACACAGTTGACAACTTTCACAACTCAGATCCACAACAAAATCTTGAGCCGTACACGCCTCCAGAAGCAGATTGGGAAGCAAAATTACCCAATTCTCCAAAAGATTTCATCTCCGAACTGGACCTAAACAATTGCGACCTAAACGAAAATCAACAAGAAATTCTGAAAAAAATAATTATCGACAACAAGGCCGCATTTTTCAACGAAGACGGACAAATTGGAAAGTTTATCGGACCAGTTCAACACAGCATTCCTATCAGAACGGATATGCCATTTCCGAAAGCGCGAACCTACAAAATTCCTTTCGGAAAAAGAGATGAAGTCGATCGACAAGTGGAGGAATTGCTGAATCAGAAGATAATAGAACCGTCACAATCTCTGTTCACAAGTCCAGTGGTTTTAGTAAGAAAAAAAGACTTAACTTGGAGATTTACCGTCGACTACCGACAGTTGAATAACGTCACCAAAAAACAGACCTACCTGATTCCAACGATTACGGACATAATCGATCTTGCTGTTGGCGCAAAGTTCTTCACAAACGTCGATCTGATCTCAGGATTTTTTCAAATAAATCTACGAGAAGAAGACCGGCCGCTGACTGCGTTCACGACGACTCATGGCACCTGGCAGTTCACCAGGATGGCCATGGGTCTCTGTGGAGCCCCACACACTTTTCAGAGCGCAGTTCGGTACTTACAACAACAAATGCCACGAGGAAGACTTTTTACATATCTCGACGACCTTCTTCTGACTTCGGACTCAGCAGAAGAACATTTAAAAGATATAGAAGCGCTACTGGAAACAACATCTAAACTCGGCTTCAAGATTCGTCTGTCCAAATGTCACTTCGCCTGTCCAAGCGTGACTTTTCTCGGCTTGATCATTAGCCGAGACGGAGTTCTACCAAATCCAAAAAAAGTAGAAGCCTTGGAAAACTTCCCAAAACCGAAATCACCTACAGCAGTCCGCTCATTCCTTGGCATGACGAACTACTTTCGACGATTCGTTAAAAACTATGCTCAAATAGCTTCTCCTTTGTACGATCTAACCAAAGAAAAAGAAGAATTCTCTTGGAAAGAAAGCCACGAAAAAGCTTTCCAAGAACTGAAAAACCGTCTAACGACTGCACCTATCCTGGTCGGACCAATGCCATCCCGACCTTACCAAATCGAAACCGACGCGAGTTGCATTGCTATAGGAGCAGTTCTTCTACAATCAAGAGCAGACGGCGAACCATTTCAAGCAATAGCATATGCCTCAAGAAAATTACGCCCTGCGGAAAGGAACTATCCCGCTATAGAAGCAGAAGCTCTAGCACTGGTCTTCGCTCTGAGCGAATTCAGAACTTACGTACTCGGATCCCGGATAACTGCAATAGTAGACCACCGTCCACTTACATCCCTGATGACGAGGAGAGATCTCATCGGTAGACTTGCGAAATTCCAAATTATACTCGCCGAATTCGACATTCAAATCCTATACAGGCCGGGAAAACAAAACGTCGTACCAGACGCCCTTTCTCGCTACCTCGAAGATGAGACTCGCGAACCCATCCAGAGAAAAGAGAAAGTGGCCAACGTCGATTTAAACCCGAAAATACTGGAAAAATCTGAAACTATCAGCCTGGAAGAAATAAGAAACCTTCAGAAAAACTCTCTTTGGATTCGTCAAGCCATCGAAGAGATTACAAAACCAGAGGAATCTACAACCAGATCTTCACCGAACCACGAAAGATACACTGTCCATGAAGGTCTTTGCGAAACCGCGCTCAGCATGCCACCCGCCGCTGATCGTCCTGCCGAAAAGCAAAGAAGTTACCACAAAAATCATCAAAGCGTTTCATGAAGACCCACAGACTGGAGCTCATCTTGGAGCCATAAAGACAGGTCAAGCGATCAAACGCAGGCTCATATGGACAGGCCTTGACGGGGACGTCAAAAACTTCGTGAAGGAGTGTCTGAAATGCAGAAAAAGAAAAACAGATGCTTCTCAAACCACAAGAGAACCACTCAACAACTTACCTGTCGAAAATGAACCTGGAAAAAAAGATGGCACGTCGACATACTCGGTCCACTGCCAATCACAGCCAAACAAAAATCGATACGTTCTAACATTGGTTGATGCCTTCACCAAATGGTTCATCACAGTTCCACTGATCACTCAAGATTCTTCATCTGTTATAAGAGCAATAGTGGAGAATCTTATCACAAAATTCGGTACACCAGAATCGCTTATAACCGATAATGGTACAAATTTTCTCTCCAACCAGTTCACGGAAGCTCTAAAAACACTGGGGATTCTACACAAGACCAGCGCCCCATATCATAAAAGTAGCAACGGACAAGTCGAGCGTTATCACCGATCACTCGAAGAAAGTTTATCTTCTTTTGTAAACGCTACTCAATCGGATTGGGATGACTACTTGAGTCTCGTTACTTTTGCACTCAATACAGTAGAGCACTCTACGACAAAGATATCTCCCTTTTTTTCGCAACATTTGGAAGAGAACCGAGAATTCCAGCCGACGTCACCTGGAAAACTCCAATGCCAGTGTACCTCGACCTCAGCGACCACACTACTCTAATAAGAATCCAACTGCAAGAACTCTGGAAACACATGAAAAAGGAGATTACTCAAGGACAAATACTTCAGAAAAAAGACTACGAAAAAACCCACAGAATTCGGAATCGTAAGATCTGTCCTGGAGATTCCATTCTAGTGAAACGCGCCGCTCCAAGAAACAAACTATCTCCATTTCTTAGTGGACCCTTCACAGTCACAAAAGTTGACGAAACAAATGTACACTTCGATCAAAACGGAAAAATAATGAAAACTCACCAGGACGACGCCCGACTCTTCAAAAGAAAATCTCCCGAAGCGGAAGTACCGCTCGAACTCCCAGAAAATCACCCACTAATCGTCGAAGCTGAGATCAACACGCCGACCGAAGTAAACGACACTCGCCGCCCCACACGTCAACACAGAATCCCAATCAGGTTCCGAGCAGCATAACCCTTGATTCCACGAAATTCATTCTTTCTTATAAAAATACACGCTTATACTCTGAAGTTATCAATCGCTAAAAAGCATTCTAAATTATCCTCAGAAAAAAACCCCGCTACAGTCTCTTTAAATTCTCAATTCCTAAGAGTAAATCTATCTGTTTCGAAATTTTTTTCTTCTTGGAAAATTTTTACGTCTCTCTAAATCCAAATTGTAAATTTGTAATTTTCAGTTTCTATAACTCATAAATCCGAGTTTTTTTCACTTATTTGGAAAAAAATAAAAAAATATTGAAATAACTATATGTTTAATTTTTGAGTAACGAAAAATAGTCTCATTTTTGAATAAGGGAAATTGTCTAAACCATTCTATCCACAACTTTATTGAACTTGAAATAACTCTGATGGGAAAAATTTTTGATATCGCCAACATTCATAATCTATCCACTTATATTATTATATTCTAACCGCACATTCGCACAGATATTATTATTGAAACAATTATTTTTCTTCTATTTATACTCATACCGCTGTATGTATCCATTGATTTGAAAGTTTTAGTTTTTTTTCGCATAATTTGTATACTTTTTTTATGTAACAGAAGTTTTTTTTTAATAAATTGACGCAGGAGCGTCTCACTTTCTACAGAGGGGGGGATGTTGTAGGCATAGTTGCCAGCGTCCCCCTAAGCGGGGCCAATATCACAGCCCCGGCCGGAGGCTATAAAAGGCCTCCGGCAGCTCTGTAGGAGAGGAGGCGACAGCGCAACATACCATGTAGTTGGCTTCTACATTTAGTCTTGGAGGAGAAAGGGAACCATCTTCCCCCAAGCTAACA